AAAACTACAAAAAGGATAATAGTTTGAGGAAAAAAACGTAATGTTAATTGGGGAAAGTTGTGACTAATCTACAAATAGCTAGAGTAAAAAACGGAAAAAGGAAAACAGCAATGGGAAATTTTGATACAGGCTCGCGAAAAATGAAACCCTCTCTGGTAATATTTACAAACTGTCCAGGAGGAAGATTCGCAAATTTGTCCGGCAGGAATGTGATGGTCAATGTTGGCTCCAAGCGGCTGAGGTGGGTGACCACATTTAACGAAGAATCGATAACATGTAACAGTGAAAACAGATAACACCTCGTGTAAAATCGAGGTTGGCTATTGTGTGTATTTGTTATAAAATTCAAATATAGGGTACAGAGACATTCAGATGGACAAAATAAATGTGGACAATGAAATTTTACAAAAACTTACAATAACATCCTCATGGGTGCACTGATGATAAGGGTAGGCAGTCTTAGATGTTCAATACAGCCGTATAACCGTCCTGTAAGAAAGTTAGGCTGCATGTAAATTCTTTTACACGCAGTTTTACCGGGCAAATTTAAGACCAAGTTAACATGCGTGGCTTCTGACGTAAGCCGAAACCGGCGAACAGTTGTCTTCTTGGTTTCCGTGCGTCAAGCATAGCCAGGGATTTAAGCCATTAAGGCAACTTACTTTCCTTGGAAACGAAATGTCTGTCTTTGGTACGACCTCTAAAATCCGCCTTATTGTCACAGTCTTCATCAGCGTCATTAGCGGGGCTTTTGCATTGCTGACGCAAAAAATGTCTTAGGACTTTGCTCGCAGTTAGCTTTTTTGACAGTGTCTTGTACTGAAAGCGGCTAATTAGTGCCTCTGGGTTACACCGAGGTCAGGTCGGTTCGCTGTACAGTCCTTCCCCGGGCTTTCTTAGCATGCTGATGTCCTGGTGATTATTTGACCTGAGAACGTGCACCCCGGTGGTAAACAATGCGTGAACAATGCCATCCCCCCCCCACCCTATCCACAATCAGCATGACTGTTTTTTTTAACTCGGTCGCCTCGGACTTGCTGCCGGTTACTGTGAGGGCTAAATGTCCACCTTAGCTTACTGAGTGAGATAATTTTTGGCAGGCAGAAGTAAAAGGTGATGGAGTGCGACGAAACTTCTCTATTTAAAGTGATCTATTGTATGCAGAAGTTTGTGGGAGGAAGAAACCCCTGGCAGATTGCCTCAGACATGCCGCTCAGACCAGTTATTTTCCTTATTCACCAAGAATTTATGACAAACAAATTCTCTCAGAAGTCTAAGATGCGATCGCTGAAACGAGAATTTTATTTGTCTGACGTTTCGGATTCCATCGGGAATCCTAAATAATAGGTAACCGTAGAATAGTGTGAGACTTGAACAGATTGGGGGTGATAGACCCACAGATTGCGCGGAATTTATCCTTCGTAGCGGCCACCCGCATGCGCACCATAATTATCACCTCCTGTAACCACCGCTATCGGTCGTAACTGGTGCGGTGGTGGCTTGGCAATTCGCTTTCGAGTCATTAATTGCTGCGATTTCGTTGTCTCTGTTGGATGCGAGCTTGATAATTGTGCGACAATTATGTTGGCTGTCGTCGGAGTTGTTGCTAGGCCGGGCCCTTTTCACGTGACTGATTCTCCTGCTCAGGCAATATCTCAGTACGGAGTATGGGAACTGCAATTGGTTGCGCTTGTTGATTGTCTCGAAAGCGAACTGTCAAGCCATAACCGCTCCAATTAAGACCACCAGCGGTGGTTACAGAAGTTGATAATTACAGTACGCATGCGGGTGACCGCTACGGAGTATAAATACCACACAATCTGTGCATATATCACTCCAAACTCTGTATGTTTCACATGTCGATTAAGGATTCTCGACATAATCCAAAACGTCAGAAAAATAACATTCTTGTTGCACCGATCGCATCTTCCTGCTTCCTGGAATTCGCATATTCGCTTCTATCGGCAAAAAAGTTCTCTGCTGGCGATCTAGTATGCATAAGGCACGTTTGTGCGCTATGAGCATGTACACTATAAGTCTTGTGAGTGACGGTCAAAGATAACACGCTCAAAGGAGGATTAGCGAGGCTAAGTCTGCATTTAAATTATTTATGATCCGGTTGTTTTGGCGAATTACGAAAGCATGACCCCTTGGCTGCTTGTTCAACGGCAGAGAGACAAGAGCAACAATCACACCAGACATCGCGACATAAATTTGGCGGCGTTCAGGCCATCAACATTATAAAATCGTGCTCGAAAGCTTGATGCTTGAAGCTTGTTGATCAAGGCGTTAGACTGCAGGGAAACCTAGGTTGATTATCTTTTTTTTTCTTATTCCACATATTTGTCCATTTTTACTGATGAGTTAGTCTAAAATCTCATATGTTTTCTTACTTCTCATGAATTATCTAAGCAGTGCTGAAATAACAATTCCAAAAAATAAGGAGTAGAAACAATTGCTATTGAGGGAGGTGAGAATAAGTTACTCCACAACACTCTGTAAACAGGCTAACTGCCTCGCATGAAGCCAGGGATTGCTTATATTTCGATTGACCCAATTTTTAAAAATTCGCGGCCTCGGTGGGCGTCTAACTCACACAGCAGGGAAGGCTTTTGCGCAGCCAACGCTCCATCATTGAGCTAGGAGGTTCACCGTGTGCCGTGAATTTAATCACAATTGGGTCCATCAAATTATTGAAATCTGCTAACCCAGGTTAGTCTATTAGTCTCTCCGGTGGATCCTAGACGATTACTGGGGAAATCCTGCCTGGCAGTTCAGCTTACTGCGTCCGTATTGGTGGAGTCCCTACGTGCAGTAAAGCTGGGCAAGCAAATCGACTCAAGTGCGATTAAATTCACGGCGCACGGTGAACCTCGTAGCTTAATGGTTGAGCGATGGCTGCGCAAAAGCCTACCCTGCTGTGTGGGTTCGACTCCCACCGAGGCCGCGAATTTTTAACTATTGGGTCAATCGAATTATTAAAATCTGCCAAACCCCTAATAATTTCTTATATACCTCCTTCTGCCAATACAAGCGAACATGCGTGTCCCAGGAAGTAATTGATAAGAAGAAGAAGAAGAAGACTCGATCGCTGGGACAATATGTTTATTCGTCTGACAAATAAACATATTGTCCCAGCGATCGAGTCTTCTTCTTCTTCTCAATGCCTCCTTCCCCCGGCAGGACATGGTAACAGGGACCGTCCTTACTGCAGGTAGCTTTTCTTTAAATTCCAGAGAAATTCTCGCTAGTAATTAAGGCCAAGAGGTGGGTGGACGGTAGAATTGCTGTCAAGATTATGGTTACTGTTAAGGTTCGGGTGAGTTTTAGACTTAGGACACAGGACTAGGTAGGCTTCCTGAAATTTAGCGCAGGCTACTTATTGTATCTGGGCTGGCGTTTGTCGTACTACTGTTGGTCGTCATATAGGCAATTTCGACCCGCGAATAATCCGAAACCTCAATCAGACGGGAGTGGGGAGGGGGGCATGAGGAAATCCAAAGCACTATCTTCGAAGCAGGAAGTGAGAGAAGAATTTGTCGGTCAAACTTGACTGACGTTATT